TATAATGCAAATGGAAAATTCTATTAGGTCGAAAGTACGCTTCATTTAATTTACGAGCCAATTTGCCGCCTGTGGAGGTTGAGAGAGAATGGGGGAAGAGGGGCGCTTTTGCCCCAGGAATGTTGACAAATTCCACAATATGTTTTCTATAGAGGACTTTTTGGCCCGGCCCCCCAAAAACACTCCCCAGTGCACTATTCGAATTTCGCCGAGCTTGCAGTCTGTCAACGCTGCAAAGTATGCTTTAATTTTATGACACCAACACAGCCTCTCCACTCTCCCACTGCTCTTTATTGAAATATTATGCAACAAAGTTGATGAATTTTTAGCCCGACAAAACTTCAGCGCTGCACGGGGACTGCGCATTAAGCGAGTCCTGAGTCCCGAGTCCTGAGTCTCGGCAGCATAAGGATAAGGCCAAGGAGCAGAGGGGTGTGAGCAATGACTCTTGGCCCTTTTAGCATTGTATCAGGTGTTTACCGGGCTCACACACACACACTGAGATAGAAAGCCAAGACGACAAAGCGGCAACAAAGGCAAAAAATATTATAATAGCAATTGAGAATTGCTGATGAGCTTTGCCACCAGGCCGAGGACACCCTGGTTCGGCCTGCCTTTTCGGCGAGCTGTCAGTTCACAACATCGTGCACTGAGGATAAAACGGGTTTAAGTTGAAAGTATAAGTATATTCCGAAATTTCTGTAGGTTTAAATCAATTATAAAGCTGGACAAACCAATAGTGCAATGCAATTTATATTTGACAAACTAAGTATGTCGTTTTTTACCAAAACATTTTGGACTTTATGTTTAATTTGATTTCAAACCTCTAGATTTTTTGATACCACTCCCTAAGATAAGCTTTACATTTCTCAAATCAAAGCTTAAGAACATAAAAAAGCAAGAAAATAAATTGCATATTTTCTAATCTTTTTCAAAATCCTGAATCATCATTCTACGTCTTCAAACAATAATCATTATAAATCTATTTCTATTATATTTTGTAAAAAGTGTATAAAAATTTTTGAAATTATTATTATTACAATTGAATAAAGGTTTTTAAATTGTATGACAACCTGTATGTTGGTACGATTTTTCTCCGCGTGCATAAACCGGAGCCGGAGCTCTCTGCTCTTTGCACAGACTTGATGCCGAGGGAGCATTTTAATTATTCAACATTGTTGACAAAGTTTCCACTGCGTGCGTGAGAGCGGGACGGCAGTTGAGCAATATGATTTGCTGCTTGAGCAGTCAAAAGTTGGCCCACAACAAAGACAAAAACGGCAAAAAACAAAAATTCGGGCTATGCCAGCAGCAACCTGCGGCTGTTGACAGTGGCAAGATGGCAAGATGGTAAAATGGTAAGATGGCAGGAGGAGTGCATGCCACCAGTTAGTTGCTCATTTTGCTTAAATCGCAAGAGGCAATGAATAGTGATCGAATTGCCATCAAAGGAGCGTCAACAATTTTAACAAGCTGGAAAATCACAAAGAAAACTTGCAAAGGTGCAGAGCAAAAATATACAACATAAAATCCAGTTCTATCAATAAATCGCTACATCAAAGGAAGCAATAATCGATTAATTAAAACAAAAAGTATACTGCAAAGAAAGTATAATTTGTTTGAAAGTATAGAGTAGAGTACAGAAAAGTTATTTACCAAAGATTTGATCTACCAATTTTATTATAGTATCGATTTTTTAAAATTATATGGTGCCTGCTTTTTTTCTTGTATCTTCCCCTCCTTACAAATACACTTCTGCATTAACCTTTGTGCTTTATTCAAGACCAATTATAATCTTGGCGGCAATCTGCCACGGCTAAATGCGTCAATTAAGTCGGCAACCTGTTATGGTTATCGTTCATCGTTTCAGTTAACGCTGTAGCCCAAATTGGTAGCGACTGCAATTTAAAGAGGCTGCCGAGTGCAGGGACTAAAAAATGGGGAAGGGCGTATTGGGCAGACTGACCAAAAAGCCGGAAATGGAAGCTCCAGAGCTTCAGTTCAGCATCGGCGAAACATTTTGGTCGACGCGCTTCAATAATTCTGTTTGCCCATACAGCAAAGGGGAAGCGAAGGAGACGGAGAGTGTGTGGGGGTGGTCGCAAAAAAGAGACGGCTAGAGGCAATCAGAGGGAGAGGGCAAGCCGCACACAGAGTGCAGGCGAAGCAAACATGTTTCGAGTGGCTTTTGCGGCATTGACGCGAAGACAAAAAAGCGCCAAACCAAACTGCATGCAGAAGCAGCAGTGGCAACAAAAGCTGCTGCAGTGGCAAAAAATCTGGAAAAATAAAGAGAATAAGTAGCTCGAATCATAGTGAGGACAATGCGATACCCAGTAAATAAAGTTGCTAAGAAGTGGGGGGTTTCACTATTTCCATAACTCGTTATGTCAAAATACCATCGATATTAGAAGCAATATTTGTTATACGAGAATTAGGTCGGTACTTTATAAATAATATGTAGTTGTTGGTTTTAAAAATTATATAAATTTTGATCTATAAGAAAGATTTTGGTCTTTCACCAACAGAATCCGAATAAAAGGTAATAGTCCGTGATATGCCGTCCGGCATAAAAACCAAAACCATTCATGACCCATGTGAAAAATTACAATGCAATTGTTTGCCATTGGCAAGCCCCCTTTCCCTGTGCCACCAACACACCCACACAAGCCAAAAGTCAGACCAAAGCCAAGCAAATGTGGCAACGAAACGAAATGGAATGGAACTCCGGCCGAAAGTCCGGGGAAGAAGGCCAAAACAGGGCAGACTGCCTGGCGTCGTCATCGTCAACGTGATTTTCAAGTGGCGCGGCCATTATCGATTAAAAAGTTCAGTAGTGCTGCATTTGACAGGAGGTCAGTTGGAGTGTACGCATACACGGAAACATAAAGCAGACCAATAACATATTTGATATTCGCAGGTATAAATAGATATTATTCATATTCGTTTTGATTCGAACAAATAATCATTTTAACACCTTAAATGAACCAGATTCAAATTCCGCATTTTTTTACAATATATAATATGTAGTTTTAACAAGCCCCGATTAAAAATCAATTTTTTTGCTATATCAGATTAAGAAGTATTTAATATTTTTTATATCCATATAATATCCATCCATATAATATCCATCCATATAATATAGTTTTGAAATTGTCAAAAATATCAAGTAAATTCTAAAAAAATTTTCATTTTTCAGACATAGGCAAACAAATCGATATATACTATTTATCATTGTTGTTATAGCTGCAAGGGTATATAAACTACGGCATGCCGAAGTTTGTTCCTTTCTAGTTAATATATAGGTTTTTCTTTCTGTGTAGAGTGGATGGGTCAGGGGTTAAAAAGAGGAGCGTTGGTGCAGCTCCGGCACTGCACTTTTTCTGATTAACTGTTGCATAATTTTCGGGGCTGCGGTTTTCCTTTGTGCAGTTCGTCCTGCTAATTGAATTTGCATGACAAATCAGGGCACTCAATCGAATGAATAACGAATTGTGAAAGCGAATATGAATGGTGGGGAAATGCAGGAGGACGGAGGCCTGAAAGTTACTTAAAAATGTGTGCGGCCCCCAAAAAAAAAAGCAGAGCTCAAACAATTGGCGAGAGAAAAGGCAAGGCAGGCGCCACACAATAGACTTGCATATTTAAGCACAACACTTATATGTCCCCAGCTCCTTTCGCCTCCATCTTTTTGGCAGCATTTCGCCCGTGAGCCAGACAAAGAGGCTTTTGTATGCCACAACGCGTTGCCTTTTTTATTCCAGCTGCCCCCACAGAGGAAGACACGCATATGCCACATACGTGGCCCATTGTTTGTATTGAACCCATGGAGCCAAGGGACGCGGAGAAAGGCAGAACAGAGAAAGGCGAGCAGAGAAAGGCGAGCAGAGAAAGGCGAGCAAACTCCACTCGGGCGTTTTCATTTGCGCTTCAAATCTAAGAATAATAGCCGCCTTGATTACATTCACGCCGCTTTATGACAAGCGGGAAAAATGAGGGCCGGGGAAAGTAAATACATGTCGGCGGGGAAAAAAACAATTAAGGTGGAAGGGAGCACTGTGAGACAATTGCTAAGAATGTATGGCATCGATTTCTATTCGATATATGTCAACGATTATCGATAGATACACCATTATTTCAATGGACTCTAAAATAATATATGAAATAACTCAACGACCTATCCTCTTTAAGAGTTACTTCATATTTTCATATATTTCATAACACATATCAATAAAATTATCGATAAGTAATTTCGATAACATATCCTACTTTAACTTGAGGTATTTCATCAAACTTTCATTTTACAATTACAACATTAAGGATTGGCGATATCATAAGCGACAAATATCAAGCCAACACAATAAAAGGTTCGATGGCTGATTTTGCCCCACTGTGCGCCTTCAGCTGGGCTCAAATGAAAAGAAATGAAATTAAGTGGCATGTTGTTGCTTGTTCGCCTGAGCATGGGAGGATGTGGGAATGTGGCCACGCATGACCAACTTGCAATCACCCCCACCCTCAACCACCCACCACCCACAAACAGACGTCGTCTGCCTGCCACTTGCCACTTGAGCTCTACACTGTAAGCCTGTTAAAGATTTCGAGTGTTAATTGTGTGCGAACAACAATAACAGAGGAATACGGTGGGGAAAATGTTGTTGGGGGTTGGGGGGTTGGAGGCTGCTGACGACTGACAGGCCGTCGTGATTGGAGCCAAGCATGCTGAAGGTTGTTTTTGCGATATTAACTTGGGTTTTTCATACTTAACAGGAAACGTGGTTCAAGCAGTTACACTGAATCTTATTATATTAATGACCCTTGATTTGGATTGTTTCTAATCTTCATACGATTCGCCTAGTATTAATGTGGTTTTCCTACCTAGTTTTTATTTAAATACCTCCCATAAACGTTTGTGCAACCGCATCTAATGCCAATCTTCACGGTTTGCCCTCCCATATCCGATCGCATCCGCTCAGCTTTTCGTATGCAGTATTTGGACAATGGCAACCGCAGTGGAGTCGTTGCAGCTTCTCCTCCTCGTAACCGCGATCAGATGTGGTAGTTCCCTTCATCAGGGAACGCCAGTGCAGCAGGAGAATTTCGGCTATGTGCTGCAGATCTACGATCCGAAATTCCTGGCCGCCGGAACATTGTTCAGTGCCCGTTACGTTCTAACAGTGGCGCACTGTTTCAAAAAGAACACCAAGCCGGAGCAGCTGACAGTGCGAGCGGGTAATGATAGGATAGCTAGGGAATACAAGGGCAAACCAGTGTCGGGATTCATGCGCCACCCCAAATTCTCGCCTCTGACCCTGCGAAATGATATCGCCGTGCTGAGGGTCAAAGTTGCCCTCGCATATTCGCGTAAGATAAGCTATATACCCTTGTGTTCGACGCCCTTGAGGCGGGATAACGACGCCCCAGCACCGGTGATCGCAGGTTGGAGTATGATGAACATCACCCAGCCGCTAAAGTCCATCAAAGTAAAGGTGGATGTGGAGAAAAACTGCCGCCAGTGGTTTCCCCAATTGCCGGGCGGCGTGTCCTGTGCCTCGACCTCGAATAGCGAAAGTCTCTGCTATGGGGATTCCGGGGATCCCCTGATCAGCGGAGGAGAGGTTTGTGGCTTGGCCATTGGCTTTCGGCGATGCGGAGATAAACGGTATCCGGCCCTCTTCACGGAGGTCCACTACCATCGCTCTTTCATCAGCCAAGCCGTACTCACATTGGACAAGGAAATGTTGAAGAAACCAAGGGGACGGGGTTGAGCCAGAAGAACTGTATGAACCCCAAATTGATCACGTAAAACATGCCCGAATGCAGCTGAATACAGTCTATTTATGGTTAAACACGGCTGGAGGACTCACCTGCAATTGAACAGACAAAGGAAAAATTCAATTACAATCGAATAAAAAAGCATAACCAGGCGCAAAGGAAATGTTTTAATAATTTAAAGGGTATTGTAAGAAAATAAAAAGCAATGAAGGCGAAGCTAAGTGCTTTTCTTCTACACTGCAAAATATATATAATGAAAAACTTTAAATTGTAATTTGTAGGAGCTTGATAAAGAGAAAGAACTGCATGGATCTATAATTTTTAAACAAATATCTTTGCAGTATTGAATGAAATGAAAGTAGTTACTACAGTGTATTAATAAACTCCACCACAGAACCGAATCAACTCATATTTTCTTCTTAACCTTTTCGACTGTTTCCGTCATGTGTTCTCGCTTTTTTACCCTTTCATACGTTCCATTTTCCATTTCCAATAGCAAATCAATTTGCGCTTTACATAAAAAATCAACAAAAGACCCCGAGTTCGAGTTGGTTTGATAAGGAATGGAAGACGGAGTTGGAGAGATTCCTTGGCTGGTTGGCTGGTCGCTCGGAAATCACGGCACATAACCCATTAACCCACCGTTGCCCAACTATGCATGTCGACGATGACGATTTCCATACAATTTTCCTTGCGTTTCTCTTTTCTTTTCCCGTTTTCCTGTTTTCCTGATTTTTTGTGTCCCTGCTCTGCTCGGGAACAGCATTTACATAATGAATTCATATGTTTAATAAAATCTACACGTGAACATGAATATACAACGTGGCAGCGACGGGGAGAGGAGGAGAGGGGAAGTCGCACAAAAGGACAACCTGAATCCTGCGAGTCCTGTGAATCCTGAGCTCGGCACAAAAGTATGCAACACAACACAAGAAAGGAAAAGCGTGGGTGGCGGACGAAATGGGGAAGGCATCGCATCGGATGGAATAGCAGTTTCTTTTTGAATAGTTTGACGATGACAATGACGATGACGATGACGACATGTTGACGTCATGTCGCCCAGCCCCCCTCTCCCCCTTCTCCAACTCTCTATGGAGATTGAAGAGAGCGGAGGGGACTTTGCTGTTTGGCCAAATTAAAATCATATTAAATTTGCATATTGCGCCAAAATGTCGTTGTGCATGTGTGTGCGAAACATTGTTATCGGTTATCGGGTTAGCGACAGGTGTTGCATAATGGACTACGCCCGGCGGAGCTTATGGAAATAACCATTTAAATTCACAATCGCAACAGGGAAGCTAGACGAGACATTGTGGGAAAAGTGGGAAAAGGAAGCGCAAATTGACAAAAGTGCTTTGCTAATGGCTTCGAGTATGCGGTAAATTGATTTAGTTTAAAAACCATAATTACAGCATTAAGTATAGGTTGGGGGAAATAAATCGATTAGTTGACTTTTAAAATAAACTTGCTTTGCATATGCACAAAATATCCACTCCTACCTATTTCATTATTTTTAACGATTACAATACACCATTTTAGCCTACGAGTTCAATCATTTTCAATCGATACCATTTAAGATAAAACCGATGAAAGCTTAACATTTTTTGATTATTTCCCAAAATCCATTGAAATCATTTCGCCCAAAAGGTCTTGTCTTGGCAATTGTGCCTCCATTATTTATGCCAATTAATAGATTATTCATTGCAACTCAGCACAAACTGTACCAACCAAGCCACAAAAATAACTGGGACAACAAGTCAACTATATTGTGCCCAAGTAAATTGCGGACATACACAATACAGGCACAAAAGTTTTCAACAATTTCTCGACCACAAAACTGTCCAAATAATAAAAACTCTTCCAATGACCCAATCTCTAAAAATAAACAGTGAGAGAGAGTGAGAAAGACATCCTGACGACTGATGGAGGTGAGGCAAACTAAGTAAAAACTGGCGTAGGAGGTCCAAAAGTCGGTCAAGTTGTTGCCAGAGAAACGGGGAAAGGCCAAGAGAGGCCATCCAATTGGCAATTGTGATAAATCGTACTTCTAAGCAATTTAAACCCGAGAAAAACACGAGCAGGCAGAAAATCCAGGATCGCGTCAGTCCCTCGTCAAAGTCAAGGGATAGGGGTGAAAAAAGAAAAAAAGGTTTGACTTCTGGCCAGGAATTCTATTTTGCATTTGGAACATTGCCTTCTGTGTCTGGTATGTAAAACTTCTTTACTAATAATGCCTCAATTGTGCTCCATTCCTGGGGCTTGGGAACCAAAAAGGATTGTCCACTCTTGCCCCAAAAAAAAACCGATATATTCGCTACCCCTCCCAAAAAAAAAAAAACAAAAAGAAAAGAACACACATGTAACACATTACCCTAGTTAGGGGAATCTTCTTCCTCTTGCTTGGGTTGTCTTTGGTTTCCCGCTCGTAATTTTTGGTCTTTCTTTTTTTTTTTTTGTATCTTGAGTATTAATCCTAATTGAAGGCAAATCCCCTGATGGACACGCACTGTTTTTGTAGCATGAGTGGTAACCCTTTTTCCTATTTTTTTTGTCCTTTTATGGCGCCTGTTTTTCTTTTTGGTCTAGCTTGGCTTTCATTTTCGTAGCTGGAGCTGAAAAGTGGACTAAGGACTTAAGATTATCTCCCCAGAGGACAAGTTGGTATGTGTGTGGGTGACCAGCATGTGGGAATAGATAAATTCAAACCGACTCTTCAAAAAGCGTTGCATACTTTCTGGCGTGGCCCGTACATCAAAATTATTCGGCAACAAAAGCATGTCCTGCAAGAGGAGAATGCGTGTGTAAAACTTGCTAAAAGCATAAGACAAAATTGGTCTGATGAGAGAACGAAATAAAAAATGTTCAAATAGACATTTAATGATTCCCCATTGTCATTACATAAAGGTGACTTATAAAAACATTATTTCACACGCACACAAAGGAAGGCAAAAGAGGGAAAATTGGGAGGGAAAAGCTGAAGGAAAACCATGCGGGCCGAGCTTATTTGTTGCCACGCAGGCATTTCATGTTGGCTAACGAGCACTTTGGGCATACTACCCTCCCATTTCGCTTTTCCGCCTTCACCGACCCTGCTTATCTGAAAAGAGTAGGACATATTAAAACCAGCACAGGTAACTTTCGGTGGATGGGCGTGTTTCATTGTTTCGGGCTGCTCAACACATATTTCTGTAACATATTTTGTAAAACATTTAGCTTGGCCAAACGTAAGTCAGATAAAAAAAAAATATTAGGATACGCTGTAAACAATGTGCATACTGAAACTAAATTGTAAAGCAAGAGAACTGTTCTAAGATTTACTCAAACAATATGCGTTTCGGGAAGAAAGTTCTTTAAAAACACTTTAAGCGCAGCACTTTGCTTTCAAGATAACTTAAAAAGTTTGATTTTCTTACAAAACTCAACTGCAAACTTTGTTTTCCGTCTAGAAAACCAAATCAATTGCTCGATTGTTTAAAATTATCGGCGCAAGATTTGTTTGGCTCTCATCAGTTTAGAAAGTACGTTGTCATGTCGATTGTCCTGTTTTCCAGCCATAAATGTACCCTTAAAAATCTTTCGTCTGGTTTTACTTGAAACTTTTTGAACTAAAGAAGTTTGCTCCGATGACCAAAGAGCAGTTTCCTTCTCATCCTCTCTGTTTTTTGTGAGTTTTCAGTTGGCTGTTTTGACTGGGACCGATTCGATTTAAGTTCAGTTCTTGCCTATTAAAAGTTTACTTTGACTTTGTGTTCCTTTGGCAATGCCGTCATTTTCGGGTTTGCTCTTAGCCAGTTCTTTTGGTCGCCTTATTTAATCATATTTTGATTTTTATGAGCTTAATTGTACCTTTCAACTTTATTATATAGAGGGTAAAACATAAACATAAACAGGACATATTCATTTCATCTGAGCTTTGATAAAGCGATTTGTTGTATCACCATCTATTTTTAAGCATTTTTAAATTGAAATGTGAATGTAGTAAAATACTAAATATTCTGTATTAGTGACAATTTAATAAATCTACAGTATCGATCCTTATTCTCTTTAATAATGTTCCTCAATTTCACAATTTTAGATCTTGAATCTGCATTTTCCTTCTATTCCTATCTACTTGACTCTTTCCCTGTCTACTATTTGGATTTTTTTTGTTCCCATCTACTTATCTACCTTGATGACAAGAATTTTCCAACTGAATGTACCATCTCATATTGTTAATGCTTACATTTTGAGGGGATTGAAGGGGTCGCCCATTCTGTGGCTGGTTGGGTGAACAATGAAATGTCCGCATATTTGGCACCATTACCCAAATTGCCATTATGCACGCGCCTCGCCTTCGCCTCGAATTGTGGCAACTAGTAATCGAGCAGCCCGCTCTCCGATTTTTCACCATTATGGCGGCCACAAATGCAATGCAGTGGACTTTCCCCACCACCCCCCTTTCCCGCTCTTCAAACGGCAATGCGACAATCGCAGGTGAGTGAGAAAGAGAGAGGGAGAGGTAACCGCAACCGCATCGAGCGCTGCATTTTTCCGCTTTTCCCCTTTGGCACGTGTGTCGAGTTCATTATCGCCTCTACAAATACACACACACACAGAAACACACACTATGTGGAACACTCACATTTGCATTGGCATTTTCTATTGCCATTTTCTTTCTCGGTTTTGGGGGCACATTACAATTTAAATTGTTCGCATGCGGCCGGGAAAACTTGTCGCATATTATTTATGGGGAAGCCCCGCTTTTGTATGGGGTGTGCGGCTAGCTACTTCTCCTCGGCTTAAAAATGTTAAACAAGCAAAAAGCTTTGCATACATTTCGGGGCCCGCAGGAGGAGCGCAGGATACAGGATTCGGAAAGGAGGACCGCACGCTGTGTTTGCGGACTAGGCTCAAGATTTATGGCTTTGCGACCGGCGGAGCAGACGACAGACGGACAAACGAAACGAGACGAAACGAAACGGACAGCGGACAACGGACAACGGACAACAGACAGTGGACAGCCCAAAAGAGACAAGGGCACACAAAGAAAGCTGAAGAAAAAGAAGACAGACGGACGGGATAAAACAGGAAAGAAAAGGAAGCGAAAAGAGAGCGGGAAACCCTTGAAGAACGGGCAGGAACAATGAAACTTTAAGAAAACCACAAAGTTTTGCGGCGCGGGGAAACTTGGAGCCTAAAGACTCTCAACCCCAAACAAGCGAAGCGTTGGTTTCCTTGTTTGTGAAGGGAGTTCATAGTCAAAGCCTATTTGCCTCATGCCTAAGCCTTTGCATTCTTAAACAAACTAGAATAATCACCGAGAATTGCGAACGAACCAAGAATGGGTACAGACATTTTATAATTACTTTCCAATTCAAGGATTAAAGTTTGAAAGCCAT